AATACAGTAATGAGAATTCTTTATTGTTTTTTTTTTTTGCCAGACAGTCATTTCTATTGACGAAATAACAATTAATTTACATCAAAATGGATATGCGTGAATTAAAACCGAAGAATAGTTGTAAGCCCATCAAATTTCCACAGTAACTAGAGGAAAACAGTATTTGCAATACTACACTCCACCTTTCTTCCCGTCTTGAGTTTTTAACTTTATAAGTAATTATTTAAAATTGGTTATCGACCATTCGACCGACAATTTATATTTGAAAAAATCCACTTGTACTTTTTGTGTAAATATTCAATTACTATAAATTAATTATATTTTTATTTAATATAATATATGTCCATTGCACAACACTTGACCGTACATATTATGTTATGCGCATCATCGAGTTGGGAAAAAATATAAAAAAAGAAGGAAAACAATATAAATTGTTGTTCCATGACAGGTTGTTTTTAGAGGGGATAGAATCTAAACTCACCGTGGTACACTTAAGTCTCGCATAACAATAGCACTTGAAAACGGCCTTAAGAGAAAAATTAATTTCCACAAAACACATTTTCGTCGAAACGGGTCAACCCTTTTTTTGAATCGTAAAATATTATATTTATATAAAGAATAACGAATGGGTATTGGTTTTAAAACGAAAACCGACAATTTCATATTCCACTTAGGTATTTTCTTTTCCGTCCTGGAAGGCACCGAGTTATTTATCACTAATTGTAAGAAAATAATATGTTATATGAAAAATATTTTTAATTTTTTCATCCAAGCCATTACAGTGCACCCAGTACGGTTTACTAATATTTTACACACACCGAACACGAGTTGTACTTAATTATTCTGTGCAGAAATGTGTGATTTTATGTTAATCGATTAAAAACAACAGTAGGAGGATATTTGGCCCGCTTAGCTGAGTTTGACGTTGTAAAAAAACAAAATTTTTAGCTATACCATTACACATAGTCCTCGTATCATTCTCAATCGCATCCAACCACCTTTTTTCGGTCTTCCTGAAGAACTGATTTTCTCCTGCGCCACTGATTGATGATAAGTACAATTGTTACAATACTGTTTATAACCAACTGTTATATTTTTTGCAGCAGTATAAAATACTGGTTATAATAGTAATAGCGTTTAAATTGTTTTCTATATTTCGGTGTTACGGTGGTGGTTTTGGCAAGGCGTTTGAAGCTAATTTGAAAGGCTTGATATCTAGCACTTGTGTACCCTCTCGCCTCTCTGAATGCATTTACCGTTGTATTGTTAATGGGAATAACAACAATAGGTAGGTACAGCACAGAGATTTACTGTTGTGCCAAAGGCTAGTGTAAAATCAACCGGTGTACGGGTTTTCGCTACAAAAGACCCACGCCGTTCTCAAAGCATTAATATAGGTATAATTTTACTTACAGTTCTTAGAACGTGGATAGAAATACCGAAAACCGCCCTTTCTCGACCGTTTTTGACGTTTTGCTACCCGCCAGGTCTTGGCAAGCAGTATTATTATTATGTTATATTCTGTTGTTGAACGTCTGCAAGTTAGTTGTGTTGTAACCCTTCTGTACTGTGCTAGCTTTCGCTACTATTCAAAGAGCTCTTTGTCGGGGTTTTTGTTCACTTTCAGAATCGTATATTACCGTCGTTGTTGAACTGCTCTCGCGATCATTATTATTATTAAAAAAACGATAATAATAATAATTTATTATTATCGTTATACCGACAAACCACCAGCAAGTACAAAATATTGCCAATAATTAATAAAACCTAATTTTTGAATATATATTTTTTCGGTTACAATACTTATACCTACCTACCTGTTGCACGTGGTTACGATTTTATATTATATTTACATAAATAAATTTAAGCGTGCTATTTTTAGACTCGTGTGTAGCAGCTGCGCCAATGCAACTACATAGGAAGTAATACAAACGCATTGCAATCTTGCAGTTGTTTTTGTTTTCTTCGAAATTTTATTTTTCTTTCGATATCTATTGTCTGTTAAAAATAAAGTTTGTCGATAATGCGTAGCACGTCTAAAAACAGGCCTTGTGTACACATGTTTTGAATATTCAAAAAAAAATCTGATTTCCTTTTGAAATTCCGTTTTAAAAGTTCCAACTAAGTTATATTATGGTTATGTTATTTTTGTATTTTTCCAAACCGAAATCAACATTTTCCTCTCTTTGAGTCCTAAATCATAAACGGGGCAAAAGTTGTTCGGTCCAGGTAAAATATAAAATTTTTTATATTGTCACCGTTTCAAGGCGATGCTTCGGTTTGTTCTGTTCTAATTTTCGCCTATAACAAAGACAATAGTATGATTAATAGGATTACCATTTCTTCGAGGTTCGAGTTCGCAATATGACCCCCCATCCTTAATTTGGTAAATTAAATAAAACCCTGTCATTTTTAAGCGGTAACGTAAACATTTTCTTTTAAATAATTAGCTCAAAATTTCGACTGGGCGACAACCAGTTTTGGATAATTCCAGGTGTAGTGTGGAGTGGAGTGTTGTTTTTGTGGGAAATTGTTTAAAACTAGTAAAACTAAAGAAGAAATGTCGCGAATCTTCCAAGTCATTGACTGGGTCGTCGTAGTCGACTAATCACCCTTTATTATTATATTAGTAAAATAGCACACGCTGTGCTGATGTCCGAAGGGGAGCGAACCATAGGGCGGGGTTTTCCCCGGGCCGCGGACAATCTGCTCTTGAAAGGCCCAGTAGAGTGTTTGTATATTTGTTGAAAACGTTTGCTGGGGATTTTTTTTTTGTTAATCTTCTTCTTCCGCTTCGCCTTCATTACGACTATTTTGTCGCCGTTGGTTTGTTTTTTTTTGCCATTTATTATAAAAATCAAACTGTACGGTGTCATTAAAAAACTAAGCACACCCTTTACGGTGCCCCATCGCGGCAGTGTGTGTGTTGCAATCCCTCGTTCGCGTGCCTTGCCCGTCGTCGCCTAGGTCAATTCAATTATTATTATTATTATTATTATTTTTAACCGTAGGCCGCGTGCTGCTGCTTCTCTATTATTATTACCATCGCATATTAGCATTAAATAAGTATAATTGGTGTGTCTCATCGCATACACATCCGCAGTTTATAAATAATAGCGTTGATTTTGAAATGTACGGATGACTAATTAAGGACGAGACCATTATTTTCTCTTAAAATGCTCTGCAATTTTGTAGTTTTTCTGTTTTCGAGATACCTACTTTAAAATTTATGTTGTTTTTTTTTTACAATATTAGAAAAAAATGCAAATATTTATCTCGACACAGAACTCTCGTCGACTTTAAAATTTAAACTGTAGTTCAACTTTTTTAAATTAAAAATAATTTACTGAAAATGTTGACCGGTAACCGTGGTTTACCCGACCATAACATAATCTGTCGCCGTTATTGTGTTATTTAATTAGGGTGGTTCATTAAGGATAACTCTTAAAATAATTGCAATTTTGTAGTTTTTTTTTTAATTTGTTTGTTAATATATCGATGATAATAATAAAAACATTATATATACAATAATTATAACCGTCGGAATGCCGACAATGTTATTGTTGAGCAACGGCCGTGGAAGAGAGGGGTGAGTTGGGGAACAGTGAGGAAAAAGGACCAAATTAAATAACTGGTTTATTTTTTGAAACATGATTTTTTAAGCGATTCGACGGCATTCGTCGTGTACCTACATGGCCCCGTGTAGTTCTCTGACCAGGACTTGTCTCTCTCGTCTACAACAGTACAACCGTTTCCAATTTGGATAATAATAATTTATATAGCTAACTGTACCGTGAGTGTGTGTGTTTTTATCAGCTGTTTTTGTTTGTTGTTTGCGTGTTGTGTGTGTGCATCGTAGGTTTAGGCCAAAAAACGAAGCGCGTGCGCGCATGTTGCATTCAAGGCCGAGTCCAGATAGAAAAGTGCACTGCCGTTTAATAATAATAATAATAGTACACGCACAAAATACTTTGTTGTGTGCCGTATGCCTACTTGTAGCAGCAGCAGCAGCCGGTAAACAAAATCATAAATTCTATAATCTATACTATAAATATAGTAAAATAAAATAATAACATGATAAAACATTATATTACTGGATCGTTTCCTTCCGTGACGACGTTGTTGTTGTTGACCGTCCGCCCACTATAGCCAATAGAATTCTATAGACAAAATATAATTTACAACCTTGTATAATGTATAATATGTAATAATTAAAAAAAAAGAATAGTTTTGTCGTTGTTGTTGTTTTGGTAGGTTTTCAACAAATATATATTATTAAAATTTTAATCACATAACACATTAACTATTATTATTTGTATACCGAGCCAATATTGTTGTGCGCAACTGAAAATAACTTGTGCGCAGCGTCGGTGATGTGTTTTTTGATTTATTTTCGTCTAGACCGAATTGATTAATAAAGTTGTTTTTTTTTAGAGAGAGAGAGAGAGAGAGCAAACAATAAAAAAATAATTATTCCTTCCCTCTTTTTACATCGTGAAAAACGCCCTAAAAGCGTCGACTTGAAAATTGCGGTATGCCATTACTTACAAGTCGAATTATAGTTCCGACATTGTGTTAGATACCATTAACCCTTCCCCCGGTGGAAGGGGTGACATTTATTTTGAAGGTACAATAATATATCAGTATAATGTGGTGTGTTATACCAGGTATACATTATTATTATTAGTCGTGTATTGATTTATTGTGAATATAACCATGGCCGTACGTTTTTGTTTACATTGTAAGTGTCCCTTCCGTTTTTCCATCTATTCTGTGGTAATACCGTGTACGCCTAACCACTCCCCTCTCAAGGAAAAACAATCGATTACCGAGCACAATAATAATTTTGATGTAAATGTAGAAAATTGTAGACAAATTGCCTTAGAGCAAATTGTTCTTTCCTCTCCACTTGTACTGCTGAAGACCTATGACCGTACCCTCCCTGTGTGCATCTGCTGACTGTCTCCTCAATTAATTGTTTTGTTTTTTTCTACTTGCAGATCAAGCAGAGCTCAACGAAATTTGGCCGAAAAACAGCGGCGGGACAAATTGAATAAATACATAAACGAGCTGTCCACTCTGGTGCCGTTGGTTTCTAGTTCTCCGAAAAAATTGGACAAGACCAGCGTGCTCAGGCTCAGCGCGACCTGGCTGCGGCTTAACCAAAGTAAGTGACCACGGGCGGGTTGCTGTCCTTCGGTTCACAGTGTATTAATATTATCACACTGTTAATATTGTGTTTTTTCTTCCAGTGTTAACGGCGTTCAAAGAACAAAGAGAAAAATTGCCCAACTACCTGAATTCGGTGAACCTCTGCGAACTGCTGATGGACGTGAGTGTAGCATCTACTTAGGGATGATAAAATATATATATAAGTAACACAACTTGAACACGCAGATTAAAAGTAGTGTCCCGAGAGGATTTTCTAGAAAAAATTACACCTTTAAATTATCCCGGTATTCTTCTACATAAAGTCAGGTGGGGAAATATTTAACAAATGGCAATCAACACATATTATTGTAACATGATAACGTCATGCTAATAAAACAATTAAAATTTTATCTAGTTATTAAGTCGGTAAACAGTTTGAAAAAAAAAATAGTTAATCTTCATTATTAACCGCGCTCAGTCATAACTTGTATTATTTATTTAAAATTGAAAAGTAAATGGGGTTGGCTAATAAAACCAGAATTCAGCATGTTTTTTTTTTATATTAAAGCCCAGCAAACGCATTAGTATTAGTAATGATCATTCAAAACTGGCTTCGTCTTGTTTGCGTATTTAATAGGTTAATAATAACATAAAAAAGACATAATTTTTAAATTAATGTAATTATAATTTTCAAAAAAACGCTGAAAAAGTTGTTCTGGGCAAGTGAGTATTGTACATAAATGTAATATCTCTTAGATTATTTTATATTAAAAATATACTTCTTAAGGCTTAACAATAAATACAACGAAACGTGCTCAGTTTAATAAGAGGTTTCTGTGATACAAAGCAAATATGGGCTAAGAGTAAAACGGAAAATGACAATTAAACTAATAAAATGTACAAGTTTTGAAAATAATTCTTTGCAACAAAAATTAGTCGGCTCCTTCTTAAATTACGACTGATACTACCGTTTTAAAAATATTTTATTTTGAAAGAAGATACACTTTCTTTAAATTATTTTCGCCGCATTAAAGTAAAAAAAAAAAATGTTTCATTATACTTATAGGAGAGTCATCCAATATCCCTTCGGGGCTCATGTCGCCTTATTATTATTATTTGATATAATATATATTATATAGACTTTGCTTATAAACCGAAGGGTAAATCCCCTGGATCATATTATATGTAACAAGTATGAGAAAAACATTTTTTTTTATTAGGTCTCAATTTTAAAATGTATGTTTTTTTCGACTCCGTAAAACGTACAAACGAGTAATACATATTATTTTCAATAGTGCCTTCCTTTTGTGTTTACCATTTTTGACTTGCACTCATTTGTTGTGTGTGTTTTTGTTTTTGGTTTCAGGACAGAGACATCTACCTGTTGGTCACGTCTACTGGGAAAATCGTGTTCGTTTCGCACACCGTGGAAAACATTCTGGGACATTCTCAAGTATGTAATTTCGAACCGATACCGTTTGTACAGTAGTGTTAAGCCAAAAAAAAAAAAATTAAACGCCCAACTTTAGTAAACGGTAAAGCATGCATCTGTGGTTTAGATTCATCCACATTTTTGGGCAAAATTGTTTCTTCTTATTGAGAAACAAGTCGGAAATCAACTTGACGAATAATTGTTATTTAAATATAGTAAACGTGGAAATAAACCGAGAGTAAACATATCGATAGAAATATAAAAAACAATTAAAGCATCAAACGATATTTTAATCGGACAGGTTTTGATCTTGCTCTGTTGAAAAGTCTTAGCGCAAATTTCGAACTGGCCCTCGGCCAATAACACATACATACATACATGCATGCATATTATGTATTTGAAGAGTGAATTTGTCGAAACGCGGTGTTTTAAGTGCCAAAGTATAAAAATCTAACTTTTAAATTTAAATTGTTATTTCACGCGTAACGGTGAACAATTTTGTATGTTTCCGTTAATGAATAAAATACAAATCTAATTATAAAGTTAGATTTTTATACTTTGGCACTTTGGAACTTTCGACAAATTCAGTCTTCGTTTATGTTAAACCCCAACAATTGGATTCTTTTGCTAAAGCCCAGTAAACTTTTGCCGGTAACCTAACCTAACCGGGAGATTCATTAGGCTTGTGCACACCCAAAACGCGAATCGGGCTTTTATCATTACAATACTAATAATAACCGGTAATGGCCCACTCTGCTTGAATCGTGTGCCGATAAATTCATTTGCTGCTTTTGATTGATTAAGACGGTGTCGTTGTTTGAACGTTTTCTGATTAACCAAAACTTATTTCAACGTTTTTTACCCATTTTAGCGGTTCGATTTTTTTTTTCTTACATTAAAAATATTATTTTATAATACATTTCTATAACCGGCGGTGATGTGATAATAATAATTACCTATAATTATAATAATGGTAACCGAGAAAAACTGGTACACGAGATTGTTGCAGCGGGGTAACACCGGTTGTTGTTGTTTTATTTTTGTCTTATGAAAGTCATCATGGTCATAAAAAAGATTTATTAGTTTTGTTTTTAATAATAATTTAAAAAAATGTATTTAACGCGGGTTTGTTGTTGCCAATATATTCATGTGTAATAGTAATTATAATACAAATATAATATTATATTATAATGGTCATTTATTCGCACATAATTTTTTTGATAGATATTTTTAACGTTGTTGTTGATGTGTTTTTTTTTATTGAAAGTATACCCATTCATTTCCCATCCCTGCCTTCAAAATACTCATTAGTTATTACATTTATTTTGTCCTAAACACCAATATTGAAGTATATCTGAGAAAAAACCAAAAAAAACTTAATTCGTTGTTTATTGACTGGTTATTTTTTTTTAACCTTCTTTCACCATCGGTTTTACTGAGATGTGGTTTTTGTTTATGTGTATATTTTTTTTCAATCGCTGAATCGATTTTTTTTTTAAATAATAAATTATACGTATATGAATAATCTAGATGGAAAATCGTGTGCCGGAGCACTCTTCATAACAAGTTGAAAAAGTTTACCTGTATTCCTGGAAAAGACATTAAATATTTACTTAAAATATTAAGTTTACCGAGTCGATCGTCTGAATAGAAATACAGGGTGAATATGTTCTATCTGCTTTGGACGATCGATTCGTGATAAAAGGTAGATTTTGTTTTTTTAAATTTTACTATTTCAGGTAGAATATGTAAAAACCTAAAAATCCACTCTGTTTATAAATTTAGAAAAAAAAAATCTAATATCAACATTATTTTTAAATTAAAAAATATATTAATTATTATTATTTCTTTGGTAATTAAGTTACATTATGTAGTAATTTTTAAAATCGCCTTTCTTAAAATCAATACATACTTAATGGAAACAACAAAAAGTATGATTTTTACATGCAATATATTCTGAATTATGCGAAATAAGCCAAATATTATCTCGGTTCCAAAATATGGTCCAATATAGTCATTTTCCCCCTCCAAATTCCGTGATGGAAAAATCATCGACTTTTTTTTACCCCCGATGAGCTGCATATTGAGCTAATGAATATAATATGTATAAAAGTCAACTTATAGTTAGTTTTTTTTTTTTTTTAATCGCACAATATATTTATAAAATTGCCAAATGTTAGTATTTTCCAGAGCGTTATCAATTTTTGAAATTTAAACGGAAACGTATATATTTGATTAACTTTTTAAATTAACAATAATTAGCCGATCGTTTTGACTGGGGAGTCGAAAAACAGTTTTGGGTAATTACTTTTGAAGAGTTTATGTAGGACGGATAGATAAAGTTGGTGGAGTGATGTATTATTTTTGTCCTACGCGTCTCACTCTAACGCAGCAAAGTATTCAAGTAGAATGTTGTAAAATAATATATGCGGAGGAAGTGTCGGAATTATCTTAAATGTGTGTCGTCTTCCGTTGAAAAATTGATCACTCTGTATAGTGACCGTCCAGGGAGGACACTGTCGACGGCGACCTTGGACAATGTGCATAATGCGCTTGGGTTCTCGGCCAATGACAATAATATACATGTCGTGTTATTAACATGTTACAGCTATATATTTATTACTTATTATTATTATTATACAGCCAGTGTGGTTACCGGTTGTGTTGCGGCCGAATGCATAATGAAGACGGGGGAAAAAATGGGAGAATTTAATAATCGAGTTTAATTTGCTTTATAATATGCTGATCGATAACCAATTTCGGATGTTTACCTTTAATGTTATTATAGTTTAAAATATAAGATGGGACGAAGGGGGGCGGAGTGTAGTATTATTTTAATCCGCACGCATTACTCTACACTACCTCCCGTCATAAATTTTATACCCCAATAACTTTGAAAGTAATTATTCAAAACCGGTTAATATTACCTGCAAATCATTCTTGATTTAATAAGTTGAGATAATAATATGTACGTTAATATTTAAACCATCTTAATCAACGTATGGGGTTTTAACGCAAAAGGGATGGTGTGGTGTTATACAATTGAAAAATACATCAAATTTGGGCCAACCTTTAAGAGGGCGTCGCACCGCCCATTTTTAAGGAGTAAAGTATAGGCAATTTTTTACAAAATCTTAATTTAAAGGTTAAACTGTAATGTGTAATTATTAGTTCAATAACTAGGACTCTATTTTGGTATTCAATTTATTTTTTAGACTACCACAGCATCCTTGAAAGCGATTTAAAAATGATTTTTCATCACTACATGTTTAAGCAGACTGAAAATAACTCGCTTAATTTTGGTTTTAGAGTAAAAGCACCCATTATAAAATTAAAAGAGAACAATATTCCGTAGGGCAAGACGGTGCATTTTTTTCATTATTCTAAGTATAACGCTCAATACATAGTTTAGAAATAACGACTATTTAAACATTTTTAAATGATTGTAACTTTTCAAAAAATGATTTTTTCTTGCCTCTGGAATATTGTTGTCTTTTAATTTTATAATGGGTGCTTTTACTCTAAAACCAAAATTAGCGATTTATTTTCAGTCTGCTTAAACATGTTTTTACCACTGAAAGTCACGAAAAAGAATTATTTAAAAAAAAATTATTATTTCTCTCAAGATATTGACTGGTTCATAGTTAGTGAATCACCCTGTGTACATGTATATCAGCCACTTCTGTGTGTATTATATTGGATTACCTCTCTCTCTCTCTCTCTCTCTCTGGACAGGACAAAGATGATATTTTGAAATAATTGCGCATGCACCTTTGTCGGATGAGCGGTAATGTGTATAATAGACGGTGTGCGTTTGTGTGAATATAATATCAGCACAACAACAATATTAGGTGCTATTAATGTTATAGTTATCGGGAATCGAATAGGGGAGGGGAGATGCCGGGAGAGGAGAAGAATAAGTTTTCAAACGCGCCTCTTCGACCCATATCGACCTTAGTGTGTCTGCTCTTACTCGTACTACTGCTCGTCTTGGTTCTTTAGAAATATGAGAATTTTATTAAAAAAAAAATAAAAATAAGACAAACAAACAAACATAATATGTATACAGGATGATTGCTTAAGGGTAAGACGCTCGTTTTCTTCGAAATCAATTGGGATTTTTTGAGTTTTTATTTTCGGTGACGCTGAGGTTTATGTTGTTATACAATATTAGACCGTATTATACTTAGGTACCGTGTATAATATTATTTGATTAACTTTGTTAAATTAACAATCATTTGCTGTAATTTTCCAGAACTGGTTATCGACCAGTCCAAAGCAAATTATATTTTATTTTAACAATCTAAGTAAATGTGTATGATGTAAAAGTCGATAGAGCTTTGGAAATTACAAAACAAAAAGTAAACATTTTTTTTTTCTTACTGATACAATCTAATTTTTATTGCAATACGTATTAGAGCTGACAAGACAAGAATAGCTATGATTAACTTAACTTGTGTGGAGTAAAATCGCCCATTGGTGATATACTCCATGAAATACTTAATAACTTTATAATATTGTGAAACAACATAATAAACCAAAAAGTTGCCATTATTTTAAGAAAAAACGAGAGCGTTTTAATCTTTAATACAGAAATATGCAACGTTGTTGTGTATTCGCCTAATAAAATATATAGCGCAGATAACACAGGGAGCGTCTCTCCGTGTACTGTGTAGTATTCAAATTTTCGAATACCGGTGTACTTAAAGCGACGAAAGGAGAAGAGCTCTTCAATTGTTGTTATAGGCACACGCAGATTCTTAACTAAATTTTTTTTTTCCGAGGAAACCACAAAACGGTTTTGGGATTTGCAAAAAAAAAAACCGAAGGTCAACAACTAAATTCTTCTTTTTAATTCCTCGGTCGGTTCTCTTATCCGACTGATCGCAGTCTTTTTTTTTTTTTATTCCTTCTGTGTGTTGTGCTGCGGATTTATGCGTTTTTGCTTCGACCAGATTTTTTTTTAACGACGTTCTTTATGCGTTTTCGGTTAATACATTTCTTGTGTCGTCGTCTTCCACGTTCGATATTTGCAAACCACTACAACACCGTCGTGTCTCATGTGTGGTCATGATAATAATATGATGCTAAAATGTTGTTAATTGCCGTGGACTTGTTTTGGGTGAAAAAAGAACCAGGAAAAATGTGTCGTCGTTGTTTCAAGTACAACGATTTTTTTTATAATTATCATTATTGTTGGTGGACGATTAGTTTTGATGTGCAAACTCCGTCGGCCGATGAACCTTGCGCAATGGGCCAGTGCGTCACCTGTGTATAATATAATAATATTATGTCTTTATTGGTACAACCCAATCTATAAACGATTACTCGTATCGCTTAATGAGTCACTAAACGACTTATGTATATTTGTATTACAAAACTATTCTATTGTCGTTACGTTATCGTTTTCGAATAACCGGACGGATGCGATGCCACCATGATAAGTCCCGTTTTAAACTTTCGGTAGAAAATGCAAAATTATATTCAAAAAAAAAAAAACTCCAAATATCTGTAGTCACGCTAGGCGAAGAAACCCCAAAAAGCACTAACGACACGTTTTTTATTTATTGCCAATTAAGTACTTTCAGTTGTAATAATTCCCAATGACCCTTGACCTCCACGACCCCGCCGTGGTGCTGGCTATTTTTTAATTTTTTTTTTTTTTTTATCACAAATGTGTATAATTAGTAAATATGATTACGAATTTATGAATTAACATAATATTAATTGCGTGTGTTGCATGCTCAGGCCTTAGGTCGCCGAGCGTGTGACCAGATTAAAACTTGCCCCCCCACAAACAACATTCGACGTATAAAAAAACGTTCCACCTAAAAAATAAAACAACTTTCGCATTAAAAGTGTTGTTTAAAGTACATCATTTAATGGGGGGGGGGGGACGAAATCCCTTTATTGGATTATTTTAACCCTTATCGAAAACCTCTCTTAGGGTTCCTTCAGTGTTTTCCCGGATACATGGATTTTACCGTGGCTTTATAAAACCTGTATCATTTCCAGTAAATGCGTTTTTTTTTTCACTAACCTTACAACCAACGCTAATGTTGTTTTTCACTTAACACACACAAACACATTAGACTTTTTTCCGAAATATATTCAAAACAATTGCTCGTGTAAAGCCATTAAGTCGTGTTTCCAATGGTTATTGTGCGTGTAAAACAATCGGTAGTTTAGCTTCTTAAATTACACGGACTTGCGAAAGTACATTGTTGTTGGACATTTTTAAATCGGCCAAAACCGCCGAGTGGTGGGGTGTTGGCAATTAATAAGACAATTGCCATTGACGCAAATCTCCAGACGCTAGACCAGATTACAATTATTGTGGTTAATTAATTTTTCGTAGTATCTGGTAATAAAAATAATAATATAGTTATTATATTTATAGAATTTGGGCCTCGCCTAATAATTTTCGATTTTTAACGCTTTTAATATACTGTCTAAATTAATTTGGTTAAAATATCACGACACGGTAATCGTGAATCCGGCGTTTATCAAGAAACCCTATTATTAAACTTGATGAGCGCAGTGAAACGCGCATGCATCGGTCGTTTTAGAAATAAATGTATCTTTTTTAAATTTGGAAAAGGAACGAAAACAATTTTTTTCTCGATTATTATAATAATTGCCAATTTATATTTCACAGCATAAAAAAAAATACACTTTTCGGTATAAATTCAACCGACGGCTAAAACGGGTTAACCCAACAACAAAATATGATAAAATGAGCGTTGCGTTAAATCGATAATGTTTTTTTAGGCTAATCGTGTATATTCTAATCGTTAATATTCACTCGATTATAAAGTCTAAAAACATCATTGTTAGCTTTAGCGGTGACCATCTCGCCGATTTTTCGTTTGAACATTTTCCCATTAGATATGATGACCACATTGTTCAGTATTTTTTTTTTTTTTTGGAACGTTTTTGATTTTATTTTTGGTGGTTTCATGCGACGACGACGGGCTGGCCGGATGAATATGGTTAATATTATTATTGTGTGTACAACGAACGGTGTGTCTCTCCGGTGTGTATATTTTTATCTTGCTTGACCCGACGGCCACGGACGGGCTGTAATTGAGTCTCGGAGAGAAAGAAAGAGAGACGGTCAAAAAAAAAATATGGTCGATGAATGAGATTTCAGACTCGAAGGGGGGCATTTGTACCAAACAAATCTCGGTTCGTTAAGATTTTCCACGTGGGTCCGTCCGTCGCCGTCGTGTGGTGTATATCGAGCATTTTTTTCCCCAACCCCTCGACCACCCTTCCACATACACCACCCCTCCTTCGGGTATATCCGTCCGTCGTCTTTTGTATACATCTTTATTAGTAATAATTTTTTTTTTTGGATAGAAGAAATTCTAAGACAACAAATTACTGTGTACGATTATCGTTTAAATGGGTATACTAACCGGTGTTGCGTTTTGTGTGTTTGCAGAGAGATTTAATGGGCCATTCGCTGTTAAATATCACTTGTCCGGAAGACCACGACGAACTCCGCAATAACCTCAAGTACACGATGGACGACCAACAGCCGTCCAACAATATGGGTAAACGTTCATTTTTGATTTTTTATTAAAATTTACTAATTAATTGGTTTTCTTTGCTGTTTGACGTTCAGTCGCCGCCACCCAGGACCAAGTCGACGGCGTTGTCTCCATGCCAGAAGGAAAGCGCAACCGACGGTTCAACATACAGCGTCGTTCTTTCTACATGCGTTTGCTCAAACGGGCCGTTTCTCGCGGCGAACAACCCGAATACGAGTTGGTGCACGTGGTGGGCACGCTGATGATACCCAATAAAGCGAAAGCTACCAAAGGTAATGAAAAGACATTTGAAAATAAAAAAAAATGTTAAAACTAATTTTGAAAAGAACACCGATAAATAACCTGTTTGTCTTTTTTGTCGCACAGATGCCGTGCTAAGCGGCAACGACATCGTACTGAACGCCGTGGTGAGACTGTACAACGAACGTCGGGTTACCGAAGTGTCCATGTTGGAAGCCACCCGGGAAGAGTACATCACCAGACACCATATCGATGGCCGTATCATTTATGTCGACCACAGGTAAGCTCTCTCTGTCTGATTGTAACACTTTTAATATAATATAAGATGTGTGTTTTATTTGAATTTGCTGTGTTATAATAACAACTCGTATATTCGGCTTTCATAGGATATCGGTCGTATCCGGTTTCATGCCTAGTGAAGTGTCCGGAAAATTAGCGTTCACCTTTATGCACAAAGACGACGTACGCTGGGTGATGATCGCTCTCAGACAAAGTAAGCTCTTGTTTTATTTTGACCGTTAACAAAATCCGTATTATAGTGCTGTTTTTATGCTAACTTTTTTTTTGTTTCACAGTGTATTTCAAAGGCGAGAGTTACGGCAGTAGCTGCTATCGTCTGATGTCGAAAAATGGCGAATTCGTCTACATGAAGACTTACGGTTACCTGGAGTTGAACTCGAACGAGGATTCGATTGAATCTTTTATTTGCGTCAACACGCTCGTCAGTCCCGAGGAGGGCAAGAAAGAAATAATCAAAATGAGAGAAAAATTCACCCCGCTCATACGCAATCGGACCGAACCCGGTATCGCTGCGATCTCCGGCGATCAATCCGTAAGTGTGTAACGCCACTCAAAGTTGTACAACAAATTCATTGGTTTTGTATGTTTTAGATGGAAGCCGATTCTACGACGTCGCTGGAGCACGCCTCCACCGAAGATCCCAAAACGTTGGACATTGTTGTGGAACAAATGATCGCCAATATTCCTGCTCCGGCTATTGACAACGTCAAGGAAACCGCGCAGAACATGGGACCGCTGCCGGACAGTCAGTTCATAAAGGTGGCGATGCTGTCTAAGTCTTTGCCTCCCGTGTCCAAGTCGCCCAACATGCCCAAGATCGACAAGCGGTCCTCGTTATCGCCACAACCTATTGCCGTCAAGCCGCCGACACAAGACAGGCCGTCTGTGCTCAGAGTGGCGCCACCGATGGCCCGGCAGCCGGTGGTTGTATACAGTCCGCAAGCCGACGAGGCCAGCGCTGAAAAAGATCGAGAGTACTACGAACGGCGGGGTGAAATACTGGTTCATTCCAAGCGGCAAAACGACATGGAGTTACCCGAGACGGCTACGAAAAAGGCAAAAATCGTGCCGGACTCGCCCGTTGAGTCACCCGCCTGCAGCCTACAAGACAGCAGTTGTCAGTCCGATTACCAACTAAACCCAAACGACTTTGTGTCTTTAGACGGTCTTTCCACTTTTGATGATACGCCGTCCCAGTTCGACACTCACAGCGTTGACGAACACGACATAGATCTAGGTAACATTACTTAATATTGTCGTACAATTAGTGCCAAAAAAAAAACCGTCCTTTTGACAAACGTCCTTTTTAATTTACTATGATCGTTACCGAGTTGAATTTAAATGTTGTTCTTGTTGTTTTTTCCTTAGATCCTTTAACCGATGACAATATTATGCCTGGTCTCTCACATATATCGGTAAGGATTTTTTTTTTTTCATCAAAATTACTTTGAGGTTTTATCATTAGATGTTAAAAAAAAACTTAAATTTAAAACTAAACGAAAAATTGATTACATTGACTCATGTGTGAGTGTGTGTGTGTGTGGGTTTAGATTTCAAATGCTTAAAGCTTTTTAATGTTTTTTTTTCAGTTCCAACAAATACTAACTGACAACAATGGCAAACCAGTCAATAGTCTATACTTGCAATCCGAGAAATTCAGCGCGTCTCTTCAGTACGACCCAAACGGTATGGAAAAAAAAAATATAGAATAATTATTTTTATTAAATTTTATCGTTTTTATTTTAATTTATTTAGGTCTTTACAACGACGAAACCCTCTCGGACATTAACCATATACCCGTGAGTATTTCGTTTTGTTTTTAAGAAAAATAACGATTGACTAAACGTTGTTGTTGTTTACATTCAATTAGCTCATGCAAGTATTAAAACAAGAAGGAGACATTGAAAACGACATGCTCGAAAAAGAACAGCGCAATTTAAATATAAACATCGAACGACAAGGTGTCCAAATTCACAATATACAATCTGATTTGGAGTCGTTGCCTTCCAGGGCGGACGCTCACTTTTTGACAACCAATTTTTCCACACTGAAAGTGAGTTTATATCGAAGCTACCAAAAAAAACGACTATAAAATGTATATTATAATGATTTTTTGTTATTTACATAGACCGAGCACGAAAAACAGAAACAAATGTTGCGGTCGCTGAAAGAAGGACGACAAAATATACTTAACAGTCCCGTTGGATTTCAACCGAACATTGGCGTCTAATCGGCCGACGTTTGTTGTTAATATTATGACTATTTATCTTTCCGTTTGACAAAAAATTAAATTAAAAAAAAATATTTAAGTGAGTGAGATTACTAGTACTTCAATTAACTGTAAACAAACAAATTAAATTTCAAAATTTGTTGTATTTTTTATTATTATTGTTAATATTATCGTTACAGTTAAAAATTATATTGCCGCGGTATATTCTCCCGGACAAGCGTGACAAATCGGGGAAATTTATCATATTCGTTAAGATATTATTAATAGTAATTAGAGTTAAGTTTGTAAAAAAAAAAAAGATAGAGTTATATGTATAAAAAAAAACCCTTTCCCTTGTAAATTAGCTGTTTGTTAATTTTTTTGTATAAAACTATTTTTAATTTTTATAACGTTTTGCTTCTTTTATTTGCCCCCCACCCCCCTGAGTTACTGTTATTATATCATTAATATTATTATTATTATTATTATTATTATTATTATTATATTATTATTTTATTATTATATTTTTATTATTATTATTATTATTATTATTATTACTACTACTACTACTACTACTATCGTTACCTAGTATTTGTATGAGATCCCCAAGTAGATTTTTTTTTTTTTTTTGACAACTTCTATTCTTTTTCTTTTGTTTTGTTTTTTATTATTTATTTATTTAAATATACATATATTTATACATATATATATATATATATATTTATATAAATTTGTTTTTGCATAGTTTTTTTTTTTTTTTTACAGTAAAATATATATTATGCTCAAAAAAAAAAACAAAAAAAATCAATAGTGACTGACTTGTGTTCATATTTTTTTTTCTTCATTTATATATATATATATATATATAACACTTTTAATATTCTTATTAGTATTAAAGAGAATGTCAAAAAAAAAAAAAAAAAAAGCAGATTAATTACAAGTATATTTTTATATTATCCAACAAATCACAAGATTAAAAAATGAGTATTTTTTTTTTTCATTTTTGCAATGATAATTAAATAATAATTTACCGTAAACATTTTTATTTTTGATCCGTGCCATTTTCACAATCAAATTTATGTTATTTACTATAACAGTTTTGCCGATTTTTCTTCATTTATAACACATTACTATTATTCTTGCGTATCTTTTTTGTTTTCAACGTTACCACGTCTGCCCATTTATTCGTATTCAGCGATAGATTTATTATACGTAATACACACATATATATATATATATATATATATAAAACAAGTTTTCTTTTAGTGCCCATTTTTTTTTTTTTTTTTTATTCTGTTTTGTTACATTTAAAATTTTTAAAACAAATACTCACGAGAATACTCTTCAATAATAAAAATACAAAGATATTGATAAAACGGTAAAGTGCATCTTACGATGGCGTTATGATGATGGTATTTACCTATATAAATATAATATTTTCTTTATAAATGAATATTTATATTTTATTTTAATTATTAGGTACTATTATTATTATTATTATTATTATTGATATTTATATAACGTATGTTTTGTTTATTATCAAAATCATTTTTTTTTATGTAAAGACTGAAAAGCAAAACATTTAAGGTTACGATTTTTGCATAAAACGTGTCAAAAAAAAAAAAAAATGTAACCGCTAAAATTATTATTGCAGTTTTTTTTTTTTATTAATAATATGCTTTTTAGCGTGTAAACTTTTGTTTGGTATCGTTTTGATATCAAATACATTTTTTTCTCTTGAAATGAGTATTCATTTTTTTTTTTATATATATATCTTTGGTCCCGGGTAGAAAGGGCTTAAGTCAATTTTTCACAAAAAAATGTTTTTCCCGTAGATTTAAAGCTTGATATTTTGGTTGAATTGGTAAAATTGACTTAGCCCTTTCTACTCGGGACCAAAGATATATATATATATAAATCTGTTACTTTGGTTTTTTTATTTCATCAACATGTAAAAATAATGTATATAAATAATCAAATTTGGTAAGGTACTCTACTACTACTAGACATAGTAAAGAAACAACATTTATTCATTCCATATAAATTTGTTTAATTTTGTTACCGTTAATTTAGTATATTGTGTAAGGTAAAAGTGGTTGTATTATTAAAAACACATCCATCAATTATATTGGGCTGACTAATTACTAAAACTATAAAAAAAAAAGTAATAATTTAAAAAAGTATATTATGATGGTCGAAGATATAAATTCATGATTCATTTGTCCTTTCTCCTTGGAGAGGAGAACGTTATTTTGTGTCATTTCGCAACAAGTCGAATAATTTTTTAGCGGAGTGTCACGTAGGATTTTACACGGCAAAAAGTTACATTGGTTTTCTGATAGGTGTTCATTTTTGGTCTGGAAATAAAACTTATTGGTAGGTATGAAGTTGTGTGGAAGTTAAAAAGTTTCATAATTAGACATTTATTTTTTAATTGTTTACAATGTTTTATTTTTTGTTTGCGGTTTTTGTCTATTTTTTTTTTTTTTTTTACCATCAAAGCAAATTATCTGACTATGTTATTGTAGTGCTTTTGTGCGTAATTAAATGAATAATAATATGCTAGGATTTTTTTTATTCATGAAAACCATTTTTAGGGTAGTTTTGTGGGTTTTTTTTTTTTAACATGTCAAACATTTTCATCTATTTTTGTGTCCATAGCATAGCAATATTCTTATTTTTTTATCAAGCTAGTATCAAAAATCAAAATGTATTTATTTATTTTATGCTGACTATTTTTTTTAGAAAAGATTTTTTTTTCAAGAATTTCTTTATTAAACAAAAAATAGGAAAGTTATAAGTTAAACTTTTAAAATGAAATCGAAAACGAACCACCCTTAAAAATGGTTTTGAAAATCTATAAATAAATCCAAAAAGTTTTCGTTTAACCAAATAGTCTACCATATTGTCAAGAAATAATAAGTTAGTGTATTTTTGAATCGCTCTAATGAATGGGTAGCTTATGAATCATTTTTTTATCACGTTACAGCCCATTGAAATTGACAAACGTCGTAACTTGATGATAACTTGACAAATCGAAATGTTATCCCAAATAAAAACAATCGTAAAAAGGATTTTCCAATGTCATATTTCACGTTTAATAATATTTTATTAAATTGTAAACGATTTTAATTGGGTTTTCATGATGGTGGAATTATTGAAATTTTAAATATATTATTCGGATGCAAAAACTAAAGAGGAAGTACTTTGAGAAGTCGTGCTGGGGTTCTGAAATGTTGAGGATTTGTTATTTGAATAGAACACAATCGATTGGGAGGGTAAAAAAAACAATCCAATGTATCTATTATAATTTATATATATATATATGTATTAAAAAGCCAACAAACATGTGTACGGGAAAAGCCACAAGTGTATGATCGTAGACAAGAACGGTGCGCAAAAATTATTACAACAGTACTGTACGGTAGTTTTTCATCATAATTGGGGGGGGTGGGGCAAGTGGCAACATGTCTGTATTTCACTTAAGAAAATGTATCTTTAGTAAAAAAAAAAAACGAAATTTTTCATAAGACTCGTGTTTTAAATTTGAATTTTGAACTATACATGTTAATACTGTAGTACCTCACTTAGAAATTATTACAATATACAGATTACAGAATGATCCATTTAATCATTTAACAACTGTACTATAGCCATGTTAAAACGTTTTGACTAATAATCACTTTTGAAAAATTAAATCAAGTTTTAATTAAACGTTGTTTTTTAAACATATAATAATAACAATAAAAACATAAGCCAGTACAGTGGGGTTGGGGCATAGTGGTGGCGGAGAGGTCACGGGACTACAGGAATTATTATAACAGCTGAACACTGTTACCACACTAATTTAAACAGTGACCAGAGCTGTAACCATTTAGGTACATATACTCGGTAACCGGTAAGTCTTATTCGATTTCCCGCCAAAATAGACCGTTTGAATTATTGAAAATACCATCTCGCATTGCCGGCGTCTCGCATAGGCAATTCGGCTACTCGAGTGTATACCGTATTAAATGCAATATAATCGTACATATTTTTTTTCATTATTAATTTTAATTGTTCTTTGAGACTTTTTTACGGTTACGAGTTTGTCAAAAACCAGAAAACCTTGCTGTATTCATTATGATGTCAACAGACTTCTCACGGTTTGTTTAAATAACAAAAATTACACTGTTTTTAAATAACCTTCGGTCATTTGATCGGGCGAATGCAGTGACGAAAGCCTCCTAGCGATGCGAATAGTTGTAGTTCAATTATTGTTCTTTATGAACAATTTGACGACTGGACAACCAGTTTTGAATGATTACCGTTTTAAGTTATTTTAATTTAAAATTTAGGAACGGTATTTGTGTGATTAACAGACGAAGCAGAAGAATCTTTACAGGAGTTGAGGCGTTCATCGCGAGCGATTAAAGCGCCCTACGCATTAGATTAGTTGTAATTAATTATTATTATGCAGGATAAGATTGTTACGGTTTTGATAATGTTACCACTTCGGTGTTTAAGGTGGGGAAAAACTATCTCTAGTAAAAAATAATGCACACGATGACATGTTACTTTTACTACATTTGTATAATGAATATATTCAATAAACCAATGTGTTACATTACAACAATGATAATAATTATTATTAATTTTTATGACTTGATTCAGCCTTATCTTCTTTTTCAGCTGTTCCCCGTACAGTATCATTATGTTTTTTAATTATTTTCATTATACCGCCAGTCAATTCCTTTACAGGAACCGGACGCTTGTTACTAAGTGCATACACTAGATCAAAGAACAATTCTTCTCCTAAATTATCTAAAAAACAAATAAAATGTATTTGTTATAAAAAAATACATGTATGATTTGAACAAATTTACCCATTCTACTTAGACTAAGCACATTATCAGTAGTTAACTACTCCTTCCAGATCTGGATTACTTTTGTTAACAAATTGTTGCTCTACTGTTGTTATGTCTTTAAATAAACGTTTAATAATAATAATAGTATAAAACCCCATCAGAGTATAAAACAATCACAAATCCAAGCATAGTTTAAACCAATAGAGTTTGAATTATTGCAGTTAAATCTGACAGTGATTTCATCACAATCAAACGCACTAGAGTGAACAGAATATGAGTTAAATGAAACCATCTTAACCGTCAGAAAATATTTTTAAAGTTCTCGAGAGTGAAACTTGTTGACCTAATCATCCGCTAAAAAAATTACCGAAAATAATATAACTATTACTATTGTTATTTAATTAAACAAATTAATTAAAAAAAATTAATTTATGATTCTCCGGTTTGATAAAAAGGGAATTACAAATTCATATTTAAAACGGCATTAACGCAACAGCAACAATAATTGTACCACTTATGAATAGTTTTGTATTTCAGTTAAACTGATGAAAACCTAATGTTCTAAAAGAAAATATTAAATCTTTTTTTGGTTTCTGCACAAATAATGTTTAATAGACCACTAACAAAACTAACCTTATTACGGTCTTCTATTGAAATTTAGAGATTTAGATGTAAACTTAACCTGTTTGTTTACGTGCATGTGGATTGATTTCAAAGTAATGAGCAATAATTTGTTTAGTTTGATTATCGTCACCAACAAGCATTAAAAATTGTTCCATCTCGAGACCGTAATCCTGATCAAACATATCCATAGCTCCAATAAAAGCATTTAGTATAGCCTGAAAAAAATGTTTTCACATAAAACATTGATTAGTAAAATTCAATTTTCTTACGGGATAAACAAATAAATATAAATACACATGAATTTAGTTTAGAAGGATTTGAACTTCCCTAGCCCCCCCCCCTCTAGTTGCGTGTAATGCATGTAATCGACTTAGTCGACACAAAGTTACTACCATTTTGGAATTGAAGGGCGGTTGCAAATAAAAAAGCAAAAGCTCAATTTAGACTATCATAATTAAGTAAGTCACAACTCAAACTTGACCAGGTTTTTGTGAGCCGGCATAATGATTTCTGTATTAAATCTAAAAAACATATCGAAAAAACTTTAAATTACTTTATCTTCCGGTATTAATCGAAGTTGTGTACAGTTAACAATCGACGTGTATGTTAATAAAGTAATTAATTTCAAAAACATAATAACGTATAAATTTAGACACAAAGTATTATAGTTAAATAATATTTTTTGTCTATAGTTCTTACACTCTATAGTAGCCTATATATAGTTTTATAATATAATAATTTGCCAATAAAATCTAAAATAATTTTACATATTATACTTGGTCATAAACATTATACTGTTGTGATATTTTATTGCATTGCTTACAAAATTATATTTTGCGATGAAAACACTTATGTAAACAAGATAATAATCAACAAGTGCTTCTATATAAAAATCTAGTCGAGACGGTATTATTTTTACTACGATGTGTTTTATGATCATATTATTCTCTAAAAAAGGCTGATGAACTCAAATATTTGAAAAGAATTAAAATCCGATTATTTTAAGCAGGAGTAGGTTAGGTCTAAAATGGTTTTTGTACCACCAAAATTACTGACATACAGAAAATAATGTACATGTTAAAACTAATACGCTGATGCTTATACGAATTAAACTGATAATAAATTGATATGGTCGAAATTTACAATATTTTTCATAAATATTGCCTATATAAAAATCTTTAAAAGCCGCCCGTTGTCAATCCCCTTAAGCATAACGGTTTATTAACTGATTAGACCTAGATTTAGGCTAACCTAAAGATAAATGACAAACTAAACGATTCTACGACAACCTTTTTTGGATTTTGGCATTTGAAGTGATAATAAAGAAGATAATTAAACAATTTTTTTGTAAAATTTTAACACTTACTACTTTTTATGAAATGGCCCATATATAAAGTAATCTGTGCTTTGAAATTGAAGATGTTACAAAGTTTTGACTATGAACAAATAAGATTAACACAACTTAAATCAGCCGAAATGTCGAACAATGTCCTACTAGCCGCATGCGATTTCTAATCTATAAAGATAGTACTTAAAGAATTCGGTTCTGCAAAAAGGAAAGTTATTCTGCCATATAAAAATTAAAATTGAAAAAAAATAATTTTAAATCAGTGAAATATTTTAAACGTAGCATCGGCAAATTAAAATATGTGCACTTTTTATTTATATTTAAATGTTTCCAATTTTAATAATGATGCAAGTCAATTTACAATGGTGCCAATAGTGTAAAAGATTGACAGAATATAAAAAAAATAATTAAAAGTTTTTTTATCTTTGTACCTATACTAACTTTGAATACTTTTAAAATATATTATACGATTTTCGTACTTCAATTTCTAGCTGTTTACTTTATTTTGTTTTATTACTCATCATTTTTTTTAACCCAGACACGAGTCTGTAGTTTTTTAATTTAAACTTAACAATTTAACTAAAAAACAACTGAACATACGTAGACTATACGTTAAATATCGTTTCTAGAAAAAAAGTACAAGATTCCTTTATTGTATGTATTAATATTGATACTATAATTTGCTATACAATACATATTGTTTTTTATATCGGATCAATAAAAGCCAATAGCCATCGATATTATTCAATTATAAATTTGATTGTGTTTTTATTGATAGTCTGTGTATAAGAATACAATAGTTAAAAGAAAAACAGTAAACGTCATATAAATAGTATTTAAAATTTTTTTGCATAAATCTATGTCTCTTAGAAAAGCAAAACGGTTATTGCTTTGAGCCTTGATTAAGTCCAAGCGTTGATGTTACATTGTTTGCTATGTTATTATTTCTCCTTTCTTCGTGGTAAGTTCACACAAATTGGAGGATCTCTTTGGTCATAAGTTTCTTGTTTTCTGGTTAATTTGATATTTTGATTGCCAAAGATTATTGTATTTTTGTAAATATTTTGCTTAAAGAGTTTTTTCGCTGCTGGGGAAGTAACCAATAGGTTTTATATTGGATGTAGCTTAAATATTTGCTGCTACTTCAGCCTGAGTCGGCTTTATCACTACAACATGATTACATTTTTTAAAGTATATAACTGTTGTATGAATGTAAATATTTAAATGAGAAACAATTGTCTAGAGTCCTCTATGAGAACGATAGATAAGAGCTATTTTTTGCCTTTTCAGAAATTTAAAAATGTTCAATTTGAATACCATCTATTACTACTTTTTTGATTGTATTATATTTACTACATTTTTACTGTAATTTGCCATTAAAAATCGCAAACGCACGGAATCTACAAACTTATATTAACTTTTTTTAGAATACGGGTCACCTATTTCGAATCCGTATAATAAATCTGACATCGGCTTTAAAGAACGCGTTTAAGGCCGTTTTCTGAAATTTGTAGCTTTTAAATGCAATTTAATAATCGAACACCAATGAAAAATAGGTATTTTATTTATAAGTTAATTTATGGTCACACGATGCTCCTTACTCGCAATAACCGTCATATTAGCATGTTCTTCATATTATCACACAGCACAATTTATTAAAAATCTCCAATTCAAGAGGTTATAGCTTTGTGTAACAAGCGATTAACAACCCATGTTGATTTATCTTTTCTTCGTTATTGCAGATTTTTAATTTACATTTGAATGATATTATATAATGCTGTGCATAAAAAATGTATTTTATTTTATTCATATTAATAAATTGTATTAGTTTGGATAAACAGGAAAAAGGTCGAGCCTTTTGTACGGATCTAACGGAACGCTTTTATTATTAATAAAATGTACATGATTATGTTATACAAGTTTAACCACGGAATTCGAAAATTTTTAATTTCACAAGCTCGTTATTCAGAGTACACAATATTGTGGCTAATAATATAGAACATATTAAATACTTTTTGGTTTTTGTACATATAGTTTACAATATGGTTACTAAAAAACTGACACTTGTACGGCTCTTATTAAAAGTCGGAGAATCATTTAATGATCACTTTTTTGATGTCGTGCATGTGGATGGCCTGCGAAGTACGATTGTTGAAATTATTGTTGCCGGCAATCGATAATAATTGTTTCATCTTAAGACCTTGTATAGGATTGAAAAACTCCATAGCCATACGGAAAGCAGCTAGTACAGACTAAACAAATGTTTCATGTCAAATCATATAAATACTGTTTATAAATATGAATATTCAAGTATACTGTCTTTGGTGAAAATGTAAAAATACACAAAAAACCGAAAATATAAATTGCTTTTGAAATAATTAAATCATGTCACACGCTAAACTATTTTTATACGGTATTGAGATTGTATTGTTTTGGAATATAGGAAGACAAACACTTCAGTATATTCTTTCCTTCTTTAATTTATTCTTACAATTGTCTCAATGATTTGTCTTATAGGAACCGGACAATCGCGACTAATTGCATTCACTAGATCAAAGAACAAGTCTTTATATACATTATCGAAACTTTGTTTTATACCAGAAAGCTGAAGAATTATAGTCATTATTAAAATGTATACGTTACCATATAAAAATCAAAAGTTACTGTCAACAAAACTAAGTATTGAGAGGGTGGTAAAATCAAAAAAATGTTGTGAAAAATTGAGATCACGATATATAAAAACAATAAGAAAAAAAATTGAATTTCTTATTAAACTCTATGAGATATTGAGTGGTCCGTGACAAAAGAATCACTCTGTATATTATGACCGTTAAATGAAAAATTTGGCAGGTTCATATTTTTGAAGTTTACCTACGCAGAATAAATATTCCTTAAACAGAAAATACTAATATAGTAAGTTAACTTATTTGTGAATTTGATTTTTTCCGTGGTTTTATGATCATTTTTGTATAACATTTTTGTACAACAAAACTCCATTGTCTTTGATACCCAAGACTGATATTTCATAATAATAGTTTCAACCACGGTTGTCTACAGTTATTTTCTTGCTTTTGTTTTAAATTTTTTTTCCTACACATATTTCGTCGTCAAGTTTATCGTTAAACGTTTTAAATTTGACACATAGTCGGTACAGCTAGTCATGTGTTATGACTAACGGTACAAATTACATGTTGTGTTATTTGTGAGGTACACATAATTATTGTCTGTATTGCGTACACGGGTTTTGCTGAAATTGTAATATATTTTGCTTTGTTTAAATAATAAAGCAGTCGAAAGAAATATTATATTAACCACCTTTTTGCACAAGTCCAATACAGAATGTTGGTTTCGAGAATATTATTGTCAACTTATGATTGATTATAACCCATAAATTTGTACAACTCTTTTGATACAAGTGCACACAAAAAATAGCTAAAAAATCAATTATACGTTTTAAAAGATAAAATAATTGTTTGTTACCCTTATAAATCTGAAAGGTTTTTACTTTTTACAGGTTTTTTGTTGTTGTATGTATTAAATTTTGTATGTGGTACTATTGAGAAAAATAAAAAAATTGAACGATAATAATATTAATATTCAACAACAAGTTATAAAATACATTAAAAAATATGACTTTTTATATTTTGAAATTAACACGTGCTTTAGACAAACAATGACTGGGCGACACTTAGTTTTCACGTGGAATACTGTCGTCTACTGTGCGATGAAGTATAATAAATGTTAGTTTATAAATAAATTTTAGTTTTGTTACAAAACTAGGCAGGGCGCTACCATTTCGTCAAGTACACAATCAGGTGTCTAAACGATTTAGCATGGAAAGACATATTTTGATCGTTAAGTTTTTGACAAGCAACGTGATAGGCCCAACCGTACGGGAATCTCCAACGAATCAACTCGACCATATGTGCAAAAGAGAATATTGGTCAGAAACGTTGTTCGATTATGTCGACGCCGGAATGGGCTGGATGGCGAAAAGTAGTATTTATAGTAACAGCCTCGGTACGGTCGAAAAGCTGAAGTTGATCCCTTATATGATGGGATGCAATTACGGACAAAAAACATTATGAACTTTCTCCGGTTAACGACTAATACAACTACTGTATGCGGTGGTTTGACACAGTACAATAACGCTGACGATTGTTTGACAAAACTAATAGGTAGCATCGAAAGAGGCGCGCTGACCATATTCAAATTGTTGCTGACAGGTTTCATTTATTCCTCGGGGGACCTTTTGACCTCTGTCTGTCGACCACAACACACTGTCTTGAATTTAATCGAATTACCAGTTGAGTACGAAAGTCAAAGTAATGTTTTTTTTCGCTAC